TAATCCAAAAAGCTACATAGCAGCGCAAGACAAGAACAAAGAGCCAGATATGGCTTAAGAGTGGCAAAAAGGCCCAGACGGTTAAAGGGTTGGAGGTAGTTTGATACTGTTTGAGATGGTCAGGGATTAATATGGAAGCTGAGAGATTTTGTGGTAGTGTAGGATGGGATGTCAGAAGGTTAGAGGTAGTTTTGTATTGTTAGCGATGGTCAGGACGGAATAAATAGGGTTAGAAATGGTTCGGAAAGATTGAAACGGTTTTGAGATAAATTAATGTTGTTAGATATGGTCTGGAATGGTTAGAGGTGGTTGAAGGTGGTTTGGTACTGTTAGAGATGGTCAGGGATGATTTTGGAGAGATGACGTCATATTTTATGTGATGTCAGGAAGATTAGAGGTAGTTTTGTATTGTTGGCGATGGTCAGGACGGAATAAATAGGGTTAGAAATGGTTCGGAAAGATTGAAACGGTTTTGAGATAAATTAATGTTGTTAGAATTGGAATGGTTAGAGGTGGTTGAAGGTGGTTTGGTACTGTTAGAGATGGTCAGGGATGATTAAGGAGGCTGAGAGATGTCGTAGTGTTGGATGTCAGGAAGGTTAGAGGTAGTTTTGTATTGTTAGGGATGGTCAGGACAAAAAACTAGCAGCAACACCCACACCTATACAAAAAATCAACAAACCGCACATAGAAAACCCTCACATACTAAAATCATAACACACATGGATAAAGAAACACACCAGCCTAGTACAAAACAAGGCCCATACAGACACAAAAAAATTCTTGTGTTCTTTACTTTTCACACAATTTTATGTATGTCGAGTTATGCCGCTTATTATTTTTTCCCTTTTTGTCAAAACGTCACGTTATCACGTTTTTTGTTTGTTTGTTCAAAACGATAAAGGACCGTCACGTATGACCTGGATCGATCTTTACGAACCTAGTTTAGATTTTTCATTGGTCCGTCTGGACCCGCTATTCTTATCCCCTTTTCTTCTGTTATTATTATTGTCAAAAGATCCACTGGAACTCCTTTTATCAAAAAATTTTATCTCATTATATAATACAGTTATAACGAAAGTTTATATTTATTTGTTTTTATACGAGGAAGCAAGTTTACAAAGGATTTCTTTTAAACGTTTTTTAATGTTGATATATTGTTACTCTTTAAACATAATTACATTGCCGGGTGAACATTGTATCAATTTGCCAGTAATAAAATCATAAAAGTATATATCTCGAGTGTTATTGCGTGATCCAATTTATGAAAACTGTCACGATTTCCGAGTAAAGATCATTCACAAGTCATCGATATCTTTAGGTGAGGCGATAAATCAAGGATAAACGGTCGGTGAGGATGGCTCAATTGACGACAAATAAGGCTCGGGGGGAAGAAGGACGGTCAAGAAGAAATATATCAACTCGTAAGGCCAACGTCAAGGCTTGTAAACCAGTTAAATGAATGTATGTGTTGCTCTATTGATTTGTATTTTTATAAAATTTGAAAACTGTTTTTATTAATAAATCTGTTTTTTTTTTTTTTTTAATTATTTGACTAACTTTTCTTATATGGCTTAGACCACACAACGACAGTACATACAGATTAAATATTAAAAAAATTAGGACCGGAGGAGAGATAGAGACGGACAAAAAGAAAAAAAGCGCACATATACACAGATATAAGAAGAAACGAAACAACAAGCAGCTATAAATTGCTGACACAAACTTACGTGCGATAGCTTATTTTTTTACAGCGGAGGCTCTTACTCGTATAAACAACGATTAATATGGTATATAAAGATTTAGTAAATAAAAACGCTGTAAGCTTACTTTAAGCGAACTTTCTCGTCCTTTTCCGGCATAAACAATTCGATGGGATGAACGTCCGAATGTTTTGCTCTTGCTCACGTCCAGAGCACTTCGACCCGAGAGGAGACACTAGACTGAAAAAGAGGCAGTGACTCATTGCAATAGTAAAGAGACAATCTAGCCGCTTTTACCGTATAAAGACGGGGGAAAGTTGGAAAAACGAGATAAGATAAATGTTTTAAATTTATTAGGCGGGTAACGATTGCCCTTGGCAGACGCGGTTGTTAAAAATGAAAGGGGAAAAATTGACGATAGGATAAAAACTGTAATTTTATAGTCTACTCTTTATACAACAAAAAGATTTCTTCTTAAACGGGGAAAATTCTAAAACATAAACAGGGCCTGCGGTATTTTTTGTTGTTCCGTTGATGATTTTTGTCCGACCGTCATCGCAGGTTTGGTCTGTCAGACACGTGATTTCTGTTTAATCGAGTCCCTTTCGTAATTTCGTGAAAGGTGGGTGGACTGGAACTTGCTTGAGGTTAGGAAGGTTAGGTTATGGTATGGTTGGAGATGGTTAGGAATAATTTGGTACTGTTAGAAATGGTCAGGACGGTTTCATAGACTTAGAGATGGTTAGGAATGATGATAGAAGCTTAAAGATTACTTGATATTGTAAGAGGTAGTTTAGGTAATGGTTAGAGGTGGTTGGAGGTAGTTTGGTTTTGTTAGAGATGATCAGGAATGATTACAGAAGTTTAAATATGTTTATGTCATATTGTAAGAGGTAGGAATGGTTGGAAATAGTTGCAGATAGTTTGGTACAGTTAACGATAATTAGGACGGATTCGAAACATTTAGAGATGTTTTCATAATCGCACTGTTAAAGATGGCCAGGAATGATGATAGAAATTTAAAGATAGATGTTATAAGAGGTGCCAGGAAGATAGAGATAGTTTTGTAATGTTAGGACGAATTGTAAAGACTTAGAGATGGTTCGAAAGGATTAGAACGGCTTAGAAGTAACTTTGATACTATTAGAGATGGTCTGGAACGGTTTAGGGGAGGTTGGAAGTAGTTTAGTTCTGTTAAAGATGGTCAGAAATAATTTTATAGAGGCATAAATGTTTGATATTGTAGGAGCGGTCAGGAATGATTATAGAGGCTGAGAGATGTTTTTTCGTATAATAAGAGGAATGGTTAGAGGTGGTTGAAAATAGTTTGGTAATGACAGAGATAGTCAGGGATGTTAGAGGCTGAGAGATGATGTCGTATTTAAGAGGTGTCAGGAATGATTAGGGGTAGTTTTATATTGTTAGAGATGTTTGGGGGGGGGGGGTAGAAAAGCATGGAAAAGATTTGCATGGATTAGGAAGGCTTAGAGATTGGTATATATTTTTAGAGAAAGGGGAATGATTAGAGAGGTAGTTGGAGGAATGTAGTTTGGCACTGTTAGGAAAGCTTCGAGATGGATTGTCGGATTAGGAAAACTTATTGATGGTCAGGTATTTTAGGCTGATGATTTTTATATTTAGAGATGGTCAGGAGTGGTTACAGGTGGTTGGAGATAGTTTGATAGTATTAGGGATGGTCAGGACGGATTAGAAAAGCTTTGAGATGGTCGGGGATGGTAAGAAGCGGTAAAAGATTGTTAGAAATGGCTAGTAGTGGTTAGGTATGATCGGTTGTGTCCAGGACAAGCTAGAAAGGCTTAGAGATATTTTTTATCGTTAAACATGGTCAGGAATGGTTAGAAGTGATTAGAAGTAGTTTAATAGTGTTAGGGATGGTCAGGACGGATTAGAAAAGCTTTGAGATGGTCGGGAATGGTTACAGGTGGTTGTAGATAGTTTGATAGTGTTAGAGATGGTCAGGACAGATTAGAAAAGGTTTGAGATGGTCAAGAATGGTTACAGGTGTTTGGAGATAGTTTGATAGTGTTAGAGATGGTCAGAACGGCTTAGAGATAGTTTGGTATTTTTAGAGAAACAGGAATGATTAGAGAGGCATAGAGATTTTTTTTTATTGTAAGAGGTGTCAGGAATGGTTAGAGGTAGTTGGAGGAATGTCGTTTGGTACTGTTAGTAAAGCTTCGAGATGGATTGTCGGATTAGGAAAACTTAGAGATGGTCAGGAATTATTGGAGGTGGTTGGAGGTAGTTTGGTACTGTTAGAGATTGTCAGAAATTGTATTATTGATCAGGGATGGTTTCGTACTGTTGAAGAGTGTCAGAAATGGTTCGAAGCGGTTAGAGACGAATGGTGGTGGTCAGGACGCATTAGAAAGGCTGAAGTTTTTTAATTTAGAGATGGTCAGGAATGGCTAAAGGTAATTGGAGATAGTTTGATAATGGTCAGGACTAATTAGGAAAGCTTTGAGATGGTCGGGAATGGTAAGAAGCGGTAAAAGATGGTTGGAAATGGTTAGTAGTGGTTAGATATGATTGGTTGTGTCCAGGACAGACTAGAAAAGCTTAGAGATATTTTTTATCGTTAAAGATGGTCAGGAATGATTAGAGATGGTTGTAGGTAGTGGGTTATTGTTACAGATTTAATATCATCGCTTATGACTATGAATATTTATAAGTATATAGTTAGAAATGGTTCGAAGGGCACTATTGGTAAGTTCTTTTTTAAAGAAGGTTAAAAATCAAATTTCGACTGATGGAAGTCGTCAAAACTTTAAACCAACACAAGACGAATGATATTTTTTTTTTTACAATTAAGCGAGAAAAAGCCGGAACCCCCAAGAAACCATACTAAAACGAAGGTTTTGGGTAATTTTTGACAAGGTGAGATCCAACGGACACTATGCAAAATAAAATTTATTCGTGCCAAATAAATTTGATTGTTACGCTTGGTTATCTGGTAGAGAGAGAAAATTTATCAGGCAATGTTGCGCATTTTAAGCCCAATTAGAGGATGGTTGTACGTTATACGATGATTCACTGTAAAGAAGGCGTACATTTGAAATTTCCAGCCGGTTTAATTATCATTGTAAATTTGTTGCAGCACTATTTTCGACATCCTGATAATCCTTCTTCAAAGAGTGAAAGTGGAGAAAGTAATGTTTCGTAATGCAAAACCTGAGCGAGGTCGCTAGGGACAATAGTCGTTTTTGTTCCAATTGTAGTCGGTAGAAAAATAAAACCAAAGTTAGTCCAGTGCTGGTCTTATTTTGTTAATCTTACTTGAATTGTCTCAGGTCTGTGGACAGGACGCCGATGATTGCTGCACCGAGGACAACCGCGATGACGACGGTCCTCAAGATCATCGTGGAATTGCACCCGGGTTCGGCCGGGAAATTCGAAAACGGCCCGGATTTTCGTATTCGGCTGAGTTTTCCGATCGGATCCGGACGGACGTTGAAATATGTTGAAATGCGATGACCACTGTGACGACCCGCGGACTCCTTCGCATTGCGTCAAAGTGGGAGCGACCTCGTCCCCAGCCAACGCTCGGGGCGCTCTCTCGGAGTCCTTCAACGTTTGCTTTATAATTATTTAAATAAACCCAAATATTATGTTTAAAGGAGGTGAAAATGTTCTCTACCTGAAGTACCCAGGTGCCGGCAGTTAGAGATGAGGTGCCAACTACTGCTAACTGTCGGCGAACTTGACCTGTCGGAACCACTCTTCTATATTACATTTTTGCAATTATAATACAAAAACAATCGAAATTTGAAACAATTTTAAATCTATTGTTGAATAGGCATTTTGGTCTTGAACTACAATCAATCTAGTTATCAAAATAGTACGTTATTTTATCCCAATAAAAGTCCTTAGTGTCCCATGTTTTTCATCTTTATCTAACACTCCGTCTGAGGTTGATCTGTTGGAAAATTTTACAGAACCATTTCCTTCAAACCTTTTGTTGTTTGGACCTTGTGCCTATTCTTCCGGTTTTGGCATGTCAGACGTGTGATTTCCGTTTAGTCCAGCCCCTTTTATGAATTCGTGAAAGGTGAGAAGGAATGGCCGAGAAGGATGATGTATTGTTAGTGATATTTAGAGTTTGTTAGGGATTTGTAAGAAGATCAGGAATTGTTAGAAGATTGATGGTGGTCAAGAATGGTCTTGGAATGGGTAGAGAAAGTTATGATGGTTCGTGATGATCACGGATGTGGTATTGTACAGGTCCAGCTCTCAAGCTGGAAAAAAGTCCAACTGTCAGGCCATAATAGCGATGATGCAACTGCACTTTCACACTACAGACCCCAAGAGGAAATCTCACAACAGCTTTAGTGGCCCTTTGAAGCGGCTGTTGGGTAAACGATGTATGCGACTGAGCTGTTCTTCTGATGCTTGTTCCATTAGTGAATGATATTGTGACAACCCACCTATCGAAATAAAAGTGGGCTGCTTGTTCATCGACTTCTGTTTGACGGAGTCATTATAGAAGAAAAGATGGCGCCTTGAAGTAACTTATATTATTCCACAGGCTGTGATGACAGTCTTAAGAGACATAATTATCGATCGGGGTATTTTGTGTTAACATTGATTCCTGAATTTTCGGTGGGCGAATTTGTATAATATTTTAGAAGAAGAAAGCGTTTTCCTTTAAAGTCGTGAGGACACCTAGAAGATTAAAACCGAATTGATCGGGGTATGTCTATAGAGTTCAAAACCGTTTTAACGTCTTAGAGAGTGGAGGCTAAAATTTCAAATCGTCTGGTTTGGACGAACGCGACAAATATGGGCGGAAGAAATGGAAAAATATAAAGGAAGCAAGATGAAAACGTACTGCCAAAGAAGTGAATGGAAATCGGAGATGCCGATGGCGAAACGACCCTTCGGTTTTATTCTCTCGTCAAATCCCTCGGTGCGTATGCGTACAATTTAAATCCGTTCCCCGTGCTATTTTGATAGTTTGTTAGGGGTCAAATGGGATCAATTTCAACCTGTTAGCTCGGAATTACAAGGAGATTGACGGCGCGTGAGCTCCGCTGCTGAATGATCGACGACAAGGACCCTTTGCCCCTTTTAGAACGTTGCCGTTGAGATGCGATTCAATTACTTACAACAGTTACTTACTTACTCCTGTCTAGTGAAATATCGAGTACTCTGGGGCAATGCGAACGAAGTTTGGTATGTGAATGTAATTTATTAACGCGATTATAAGGGTCACCCACACCGGTCTTTTGCATTGTGCCGCACCTTGCCCCTTTTGGGCTTTTACTGAGGTTCTTTATGGTCTGGTAGTCTAGTTTGAATGAATGTGAGAATGGAATTATTAGCGTGATGGAAGGGTTGTCCCATTTACCCCTAGGAATATCTGGAGGTCGCTGCTACACTGATTAGTAAGCACTCGTGTTTGGACTTCACATCCTACGCTTTCTCTCCTGAAATGGTTTCATTCCAATGTAAATGGGAGAACACAAGGTGTTAAAATGTCATCTTTAGTCTACAAAAAATATTTTGCCCCTGGAATATTGAAATATTTGGTCTCTCAAGGCTCACATCGTTCGCCATCTGGAAGCTATTGGGAAAACAAAGAAGCTCGTCAAGTGGGTCCTGCATGAGCGAAATCTAAAAGGCTCGCAGGTATGAAATCTGTTCAATGCTTTCCTTAAGCAACAAAAATAATTCATTTCTCGGTCGCACAGTAACGTGTGACGAAAAATGGCTATTTTATGACAATAGACAGCGTCCTAGACAGTGACTGGATAAGAGTGAAAAACCAAGGCACTTCCCAAAGCCAAGCTTACATTAAAAAAAATTATGGCCATTGTCTGGTGGTCATCTCTCATTCGTTACATGCTTCCCCAATCCGGGAACCATCATTATTGAAAAGTACTGTAATGAAATTAATGAGATGAACCGTAAACCTATCCTCCTCACGACAATGGAAGGCCCACACGTCGCCCAACGGATGGCACGGCTCCATGAGTCGGGTTACGAGGCTTTACCACATCCATCATACTCATCGGATCTTTCTCCAACAGATTGTCACTTTTTCAAACATCTCAACAACTTTTTGTGCGAGAAACGGTTAAGAAGCCAGACTGACTTTGAAAATGCATTTCGGGAGTTCGTCGATCCCAGAGACCTACTACGATCTACTCTTTTGGGATTAAAGCATTGGTTGTGCGTTGGCAAAAATGCTTAGATAGTAATGGAAGTTATTTCGATTAAATATATTTTGTTGAAGTCAAACTGTAGCTAATTTTACTGAACATCAAAAAACTACATTATATTCTCATCAAGCCAATAGTTTCAACTGTATCCTATAACTGTGGAAGTAATATTAAATAAATATTCTCAGTTGTACAGAATTTTTTTGAAATGAAAATTCTCTGACCTACGACTTTCGGCTCAATACGCCTCTGCACCAACCTTGGCCTAATTTGAGCTACTGTGACTTCGATCGCCCATGCCACAAACTTCTTATTTCGACTTCTCCTTTATTCTAAATGTAAACAAATAAATATTCCTTACTTTTCCCATATAAAAACCTTGTACGACCAGCACACATGAAGCAGCTTATTGAAGACTCAGATGCTGTCCAATGGGGGACTGGAGTATTTGGTGATCTTGGACTGACTATACACGCACAGATTCAACATTGTTCTGCTCTTCTTCTACAAGTTGCATCAATTTTATTGACTTTTATTGGCCCCCCACTGGAACGGGTAAGCGCGGCTAGACCTGACGACCTAACGGGACAGCTGCCTGCGTATTGTTACTGGAGATTCAGGAGCAGGGATACACCGGCAGCTACAGCACGCTAACCGCTTTTCTCCATCCTATGAAGCAACCCGGTATTGAGGACGTTGTCCGCTTTGAGCCTGAACCTGGTAAGCAGATGCAGGTTGACTTCACCATTATCAGACAGGGAAATAACCATATACTGGGTTCGTCGCCACACTAGATTGGAGACGAGCCACCTTCGTTAAGTTCTACGCCTGTCAGGACTCTGCAGATTGAACGTGATGTGTATGGCCCCGATAAGCATCGATGGAACCCGCAACTCATGCATCTTGCCGAGAAATACGCTTTCAGCCCCTGAGTCTACCGTCCATACAGAGCGATGACCAAGAGTAAGTTTGAACGGTTTGATCACTATCTTAAGAATAGCTTTATCGTGTAACTGGTAGCGTCATTTCGTCCGGCAGGGGTTATTCTGGATGGTTCCGAAGCGAATGCAGGTTTAGTGACGGAGTTTTGTGGCCCTGAAAAGGGTCGGTGTTGTGTAGAGGCGTGACGATGAATCGAGGCCGAGACCGTGTGCGTGGCGCCGTTGGTGGTGGTCTGTGACCATGAGTAAACCGTTGGCTGAGGTCCGGGAGCCGTGAGTCGGTTGACTCCACAGAGGCCGAAGGTATTGGAGTATAGCAATCAGCCGAGGGGCAGCAGTTGGCGTTTACGGCCAAGTTGGCAGTTTAGAAGGCGAGATCAGGCTAATGCTGCGAGCACTTGCTGTCGTCGACGGTGATCCTTTAGTATGGCTCGTCGGGTTGACGAGTCTAGTGTAGTCGATTATTAGTGATGTAAGAGACCTCGTCGGGCTGACGAGTCTGCTGTCGTTGTTGCCGATGTCGGTTACATTAGTGATTTGTGAGATCTCGTCGGGTTGACGAGTCTCCTCCAGCGAGGCAGTGCCCCTGCTTATATAGGGAAGAGCTCTACTCTGATTGGCTGCAGAGGGGAGGGCGAGAACATTCCATAAGTCGTAGTGGCATCTAGCGGTAACGTGTGGTAGCTACAAGTGGCCACTTCAGCAGGTATTGGCCACTGGTTAAGTTCCGTGGCTAATACACCCAAACATGACTATTGGTGTATCGCCGTAAGAGCGTATGCCACGTGAACGCCCGCTGTTGTTGACAGTTGTTTGTGATACAGCTGGTCATTCCGTGTATAGTTTGTCCAGTTTAAGTGGCAGATTGCTACGATATGTTCATCGATAGGTTCATTCCAACACCTCCAAAATCGATTGATAGACGGCCAGAGGTTCTGCAGACTCTCCGTGGGAAGCGGGTATGTCTAATATGCCGATGCTTTTAAGTTTACAAAAATGGCCATACATCCATCACTTCGATACAGGCTTAATGAGTTGTAATTCAACACCAAATCTTATTGCATGCTTAGCATTCATGATGACTTTTTTTTCACGACACTGCCAATATGAAATTTACTGTACCCAAATTTATACCTATTGCTGTAATTCCCAGCCTGTGTCTGGATCTTTTATCCCATCTAAAATTCCATATTGCTCCTTGTTACTCTAGTCTGTCTAGACCAACGTGTCAGTGCTCTTCCGAAGGATTTTGATATTTATCGTTTGTCTTTTCATGCTCGAAAAAAGATCCGTTAATTATCAGAAGAAAATTTCGTTGTTTTTTTTTTTTAATCTGGAGGGCCACTCTAGATGGAAAATGCTTTCTTTGACAACGTAGGGTATCTTCAAACGGAATAGAGTTTTCACATGGAAAAAGGGACACTATAGGATGGGAAGGGCATGAGAGAATTTTAACTGCAAAGTTCAAATCAAGTCTTAATCTTCGATGTTTGAGGGGCCATTCTCCGGCTTCAGCATGCACACTAATAGATGGACTAGATCTAAATGCACCTATGGCTAGACGCAAACCTGTGTTTTGTATCGGTTCAATCATGGACAATGCTCTGTCACTAGCAGAGCCGTATGCACAACTCCCATAGTCCAGTTTAGACATTTACAATTAATAAATGCTCTCTATAAAATTGGAATTTCGCCTAAACCTCCCTGGCTGCTTCCAAAACCTAATCTATGCTTAGACCTTACTAAAGTTTCTAAGAAGAATACTCCCCCTACATGTACAGTCAAGAATTTTATAAAATAATAGATATCTTTTCTAATCCCGCACTATGTTTTAGATGGCTCAAAAAATGATGTAGGGACAGGTGCTGCCTTTTTCACTTATAATAATAATGCACAATATATGTTTACCCTACCACCTATAGCAGCTACACTGCTGAGATTATAGCAATAGCAAAGTGCTTAACTACATTAGCCCCATCCAGGGAAACGATTGTCATCTGTACTGACTCTTTGTCGGCTCTATTGGCCCTTAAAAACAACTTTTCTGTACATCCATTGATACAAGACATCCTATTTACCATTGAATCTCTGCAAAATCAGGGAAATAGAGTAGTTTTCATGTGGATTCCTGGACACTGCGGAATATTTTGCAATGAGAAGGTGGACCATTTGGCAAAGCAGACCGTCCTTAATGGATTTAAATTACAAAAACACCAAAATCCGATGTGACATCTTAGCATAAAAGAAAGTCTTGGCAGTTATGGCAGAGTGGGAAACGACTTCTAATGTCAAACTTAGAGAGATAAAAAACTGTAAAACCTTGGGCCTCATCTCATAGAGGTTCCAGGCACGAAGAAGCTGTCCTTGCTAGGCTCAGAATTGGTCATTGTAGGCTTACTCATTCTTATCTCACTTCTATCTCGACTTATGATGTTGGCACAGAAAGAATAACAGTCAAACACATTTTGACAAATTGCAAAAAATATGTAGAAGAAAGACATCGGTTGGAAATTCCAACCAACATCAAAGACTCGCTTGGTGATAACTTCGACCAAATAGACAAACTAGTAACTTTCCTTAAAAAACTAAACTAATTTCGGAAAATGAAGATAAAATGATATAATAATTTAATACAAAATCATTCAGTATGCAATAATCTGTAATCCACACAATGTTGGGGGTGTCTTGGGGTGCGATTTGGGTGCCCATCTGGTGGTGGTTGTGAAGGGGTGTCCGGGGCGTGTGATGCTGCCGGGGCCCTAGTTTCCGCTATTGGGGGGGTTCCTGAGCTGTGGCCCACTCACCAGCTTGAAAGTTTTTTAAGGCGGAAAATGACCCAAAGCGGTTGATCGCCTTTTATAATTTAATAAAAAAAATAGTAAAACAAAATCGAGGGAAATTGACTGGAATGAATCATTGTCATGTAACAGTCCGCGAAAAGGAGTAACCTCCCCGCCCAGTTCTTCCATTCTTAACTAGAGTAATCACTAATCAGCATAAAGCATGCGAGCAACGTGAACAGCATTGTACGAATATGTGTTTCATCTCTTTCCAGATGCTGAATTTGCAGTCCGGCCTAGTTTTGAGGGAGCAAGAGAATGGTGGAAAAATCTCCGGACAGTTCGAACTAGATGAAGCACATGACTTTTTCTTTTCCAGCAAGTCTCCAATAAATTCATCGTCCTATTGCATGCTCAGTCCTTTTTCTGGATTGTTTCGAAAACGAAAAATTTATTGTAACAATCATATTCATTTTACACATTTTTTTTATTCGAAAAATTTCTGTCAAGGATGTGATGGTCTAAACGAGGACGATTACTTGTGAAGTAACACACGGGGGAGAGATACCTCAGTTACAAGCCAGGTATCTCTTCCGTGTGGAAATTCACTCGTATCGATATCTACGCAGCTGGCTGTTCAGTATGGATAATTGGGCACTCATTTAACTAAAACATACTGTTAAGTTAATCTTTTATACACTCTTATATACAGTAAATACATTTAAGAAGTATGTTGGTCTGCGAGTCGACGACCATACGTTGAACCGACATGGGTCTGTAGACTCTACGGACTCTACTCAACCCGGCGTCTGTATATCTATTTGACGCATTTTTTTATGTTAAAACTGCTTATTTAAAGAAAAGAGATTTTATCACCCTTTATTTTCTGCTTATGCTCCATGTATTTCTAACTCCTAAGCCAAGTGCGTAAAAAAAAATTGGCTTAACATTACGAACATGTAAATCAAGATAAGACCATTTTCAACCTTATCTAGTGATAAGGGACTTTATTTTACAGGCAAAGCCTATTAAAATTATAAAATAGTTACAAAATATACATAAGAGAGCTAATAAAGACATTCGTTACAAAATACCAATAGTTAATTAAAGAAACAAGAATTAGAATTACATACAATAACAAATAATCGGACGTATGTATTATTTGTTATAAAATAAAACAGCTGTGAATATGACAAAATTGATAGAATACAAATAAAACAACTGAAAAAGATAATTATTAGTAATATTCAAGGTAACTAGCATAAGAGTAATTCAGCAATATATAATTGAAAATATTAAACAGAGCTATGTTTTACAGAACAATGAGACCTACATAAAATATGAAAAGTGCATAAATTGATCTAAACATTTATATCATGAGGGCAGAAATTAATTAATTTTGATTGATTTTAAAAATGCTAATATCATGGTATGAGAGGTGTATAAGCATTAGCTGTGTGTATTAACCTTTTGGTGGGACTTTATTTTTTTAATTTGTGTTATGGGTGGTATGAACAGTATCTTATGTTTCTGGAGAGTTTGGGAACATAAGTTAATAAAGGAAGATGAGGACAAGTCTTCTTTTCTAACAACTTCCTAAGTTAAAATATCAATGGAATCCAAAATTTTAAGTTTGTAAGCTGGATCTCTGAAATATATTCTAAACCATTTCTATTTATTGGATTTTTTTAATCAAGACTTGCGACCCTGTAACCAGCATACACTATATCGCTAAAAGAGTCGAGGATGTTTAGCGTACTAGCTCGTTTACTTTTTCTCTGGAAGGAACCGATCCAAAAAATAAAAATCCAGAAAGATATTGATATGCATTTATTGATACATTTCTCCAAACCGTCAAAGTATTGATCAATTTACATACCCTACATATTAATTAATTTACATTTACATACGCAGTAACTCTAGGGGTGAGCTTATTTACAAAAAGAACTATAAATGACACTCAGAGCAGTCTCTTGCTGCGTTTTCCTTCTCTTTTTTGGGACGATATTGTCAATCGATTTTCCTTGACTTCTTTGCTTTTACTCTAGTCTTGGCTCTACACAGTATCGACTATCCTAGACTTAACTTTTTAGTCTCGACTCTCCTTAGCCTCATTGCCTCCTCGACTTCATTTCTCCCTGTTTCTTCAATGACTTGCGTGTACAATCCTCTCCTCAATGTCTCAGTCAACTCCTTATTTCGAGGGTCAGCTTTGATTTCTTGCAACACCCCATAATTCCTGGGGAGCTTCAAAGCAGCCCCTTGTCTTGTCAATTGTCCTGCAGTGTCGGCTCACAAAAGCCAATCTGGTCAACGTGATCCAAAATTTATTGTGATCCTAACTTGATGAGCCATGTCCTCATAAGAAAATTTTTGCTTAATAAATAACTCTTATTTTTTATTTGTTCACTTGTGTTTCTAAATCCTACAGATTTTTGGATAAATTCCTTATAGCATGTTTCCTGCTGGGTTCATGAGGCATCATCTCATTTATTACAACTCCTTATATTTATATATCCAATTTATTTATATTATAATATTTATTACTATCTGCACAATGATAGATTATGTAATGTTCTGATACATATTTGTCAATCATGTTGACACAGTGAATGTCTTGAGGAGGAGAGTTAAACTTTGTTGCTTTCCCAATTACAGCCTAACAAAAAAACATTGGAGTACAAAATTTTTAAAAAAAATATTTTCTCTATTATTAATTTTAACTTATATTGAGACAGCCACGTTCATTCACCATAAAATCAATTTTTACCATTTCCTTAGATTATCTATTTTTTACTCGTCAGATTTCATTGTTATTTATGTATTGTTTGTCTAAATTGTATATTTTTTCAGTACAGAACACGGATATTGTAGCTGTAGTTACACAAGAACAGATTTTTATCGAGGCCATTGCACACCACCAATAGAACACATGTTAATTGTAAATCATATGTTTGTTTAACATTTTTTTTGATCTAGTTAAAAATAAGGTGCATGGAATAAAAGTGTTTGAAGTGACAGAATTGAGTTCGGCTGATTTGCTCTTCGTCGTCAGTGATGGTGCTTTTGGTGTTACGGTCTTAAGTCTGTTGTTCTCAGGTATATCCGTTTTTTATTAATTTTATACAGATGTTTATATTTCTTAAATTACTAATTAATAGAATAAAATTTAATTTGTTACTAGTTTTATTTATGTAAAAAAAAAAGTTTAAAATATTCACATATATCCCTTTTGAGAAGGCAACGATGCTCGGAAGTTTTTAGGTTTGCGTGTATGCATCTAATCTGCTGACTGTGTTTGCATGTAAACTGCAGTGGACCGATTTACAGCAGTGGTGATGCTGTTGGAAGCTGCAGTGGCAGATTTTATCGCAACTGCAACACCAGTGTAAATTCCTCGTGAAAGGCTTTCCAGAGTTGGCGCTGGTCTGCGATCCTTGTTCCAGCATCAGGATTTCGTTTTGAAGGATCTTGGCGCCATACTGCGGGTTCGGCCAAGCGCCAATGGCACCCGAGTTTTCCAGAGTCGCCGGTGTGACACAGCCTTCGATGCTGTTTGAGTTTTCCAAGTTTGTCGACGTTATGCCGCTATCCGTGTTGCTCGTCGAGAGCCAAGTCTGCACGAAGTTGTCCGATTCAATCGGCAGGTTAAGATTATCGTTGAATTGGATGTTCCAGCGCAACGGGTCGAAATCGTTCATGTTCGACGGTTGGAGTTGGTCGATTTCATTAATGAGCATATTGTCGACAGGAGTTTCCCCACATTCGAGTGATGTCAGATTGTCAAATAACTTGTTCGCTTGGCCTGAAAAGTCCAAATCGGAGAACAAACATCTGACATCGTGCGATGTGGTCTGAGAGCTTTCTGCCACGACTGAAGGCTTGGGCCTCTTAAGAGGCACAACGGGAGAGATTTCATTCGGAAAAATTTGTGTATTGAGTGGAGTCGAAGTTCCAATTGGCCACGGCGACCTCTCCTGTTGTGTTAAAAAATTAAACTTACTCTCATCTGCTCTTACGACTACAGGGGTTATCGTAACGGAGCTGCTTATAAAAGGAACCTTCGTCTCGGAAACCCTCGGCAATTCTTCCTTCGGGAAATCAACTCGAGATTCCTCAGAAAAATCAAACTCACTCGAAGTCGAGTATTCAGAGTCTTCCATCTCTTTTAACAGTATGCCTATGCAGTCAATATTTTCAGACTCTGAATACGAAGAATCGTCACTTGAAGACTCTGAAAATTTCGAGTTGAGTTTGACGTTCTTCTCCCTTAGCAATGCGCTTACTTTAATCGGAGGGATTTTCTCTTCTTTCACAACCCTTTCAGTATTTACGCTTATTTTTTCTAAAGGTATTGACACCATGATCTTCGGTCTCAGGGGATATGGTATTGACACGGGTATTTTTAACTTTTGACCATTTATCTCATTCTTTTTGAGTCGCTTCTTATTTCTTTTCTGCAAGAAATTTTTTTTTTTTTAATATTGTTTCAGGAAAAATAACTGTGTTTACTCACGATTGAGTCTTTGTTTGAATTTTGACCGTTGATTTCATTAATTTCCCAAGAATTCTGAAAGCAAAACAATTAAATTTTATATTTTTTTCATATCTTACAGAAACTTTCTAAATCCTTTAAGAAATAAAAATATATTACTCACAACTGTATTGATGGAATGATTTGACGGTTTGTTCTCTTTGTCAGGGTCTGAACGTGGATCGCTTTGTACAGTTCTGCTGTTGCTATCTCTTCTTCGGTGATGTCGGTGTTCTCTTGGCGTTTGGAAGTTGCTCATCGAAACGTCGCTTTCGACAGACTCCGATCTCCACCTGCTGTGACTCGACTTGTCCCAGACGATCCTTTTTGTCATGTCCCCCTGACTAAGTTTTTATTTTTATTTTTATATATTTTTTAAAAAGAAATAAATAGTTCTATTTTTTTAAAAGATAAGTTAAAATTATTGACTTAATAAAAGAAAAGAAGGTAATAAAATCATATGTTTGCACATTTCTTTCTTTTTTTTTCTTTCATTCTCTCTTAAATCAATGTTGACTAAATATTGAATAAAAAGAAAATGTTTTTGTATTGTTGTTCTTTTTTCTTGTTTTTGAGAAATGTGAGCAAGTTTTGTACTGACCAAATTTTTTTTTAATTTTTTTTTTTTTTTTTAATATGTTGCCATCGTTTTTCTGATGAGACACTTGGCCTTCTAGGTTTAGCATTTCTCAAGGAAAAAGTACGCATAACATAAAAAACAAATGTATTAACGATAAAAATAATAAATTTATTTTTGAGGGCTGGTGGCCACTGCATCGAAGCTCACCGGCCCTGAATCCAAACCCAAGTATTTACAAATGGGCTTTTTCTTTTAAACACGACAGCTACCCAGGGGTTAGAGTTGATGCTGGGTGTTCGCTTGTGTCTCTGTGAAAGAGCTGGAGTACCACAAGGAAGCATCCTGGGTGTACACTGCAGATATCCCTCTAAATCCTAACACTTTTTGATCTAACACATAAGCAAATGTCACAAAAAGAAAATACTTATGCAAATCTAACCAAAGGATCCAGCAAGAAAACGATTTTTTTATACTTTGATGCAAGAATATAAGAAACTATTGAGTTTAAAAAAAAAAAAAGTGACTAAGAGTCACTAAGTAAAAATGATTAAGAATTGGATTTCCTTAAAGATGAACTAAAATGAAATGAAATGGGGTTAAGGTTTTACCAAGGGTTTTTGCTGTTAACAAAATTGATAAAGTTCTTCACCGTTTATTTTGGCTTGTATCAAGATCCTTCATTTTATCGTAATTGATGCTGTAGTTATAATTTTTCTCTCAATTCTGTGTTTTGGGCAACACTGGAGACAACACTGATTCCAGGGAGATCAAGTTGAAGCGTAGAAATATTTTCTGTCTTTCTAAACCTTTGCTGACAATAAAGCAATTCTCTATCATCTCCTTGGATCTCTTCAAGATCATCTTAGAACCACGGTTCCATAAATGAAAAATACAAAGAAATGCTTTGCTCTAGTTTTAAACGTGGTTCCTTTTAAGTACAATCTAATCCTCTGCTAAGTTTACTTCGTTCTTTTTTGACAACAGCTTCTGAGATGTTTGCAAAAAATTATGGAAAAATATGTTTCTTGGCCTATAGCAATGAAATATGTTGGTAAATTGGCGACCTTGTCAGTACTGAAGAAGGATAACTTGCCAAATTACCATGGACAAGGGAACTTACAGGTTCAAGACCAATAAAATAACTGCTTGGTTTTACAGTAATCAACTTGTAGTTATAGTTTTTCCCTCAAATCCGTGGTTTGGGCAACACTGGAGGCAACACTGATTCCAGGGACTGACGTTCAGTTGTCTTGAAATGTTTCTGTTTTTCTAAACCTTTGCTGATAATAAAGAAATCCTCGATCCTTTCCTTGCATACCTCCAAGAGCACCTGAGAACTATGGTTCCATTGGTGAATAACAAAATGAAAACAACCCCCAGCCTACCATCAAAGGAAAAAACTTCTGGGCTCGCGACCAACTGCGCACATTAAGCGTTTGGTTTATGCCATTTTGATTTCGCCTTATGGCTTGATCATCGATGATGTCATTTACGCTTAACACACCATTTATGTTCCTTGTAACCTATCTGCACCTTGCATGAAATGGTCGAATAATTAAAATTAATTTAAAAATTAATAGAAAAAAACACGGTTGTTTTGTCGTATGTCTAAGCTACATCGAAACGTCTTTCTACCTTTTGAATTAAGTTTAGATCGGCTTAGTTGCCAAGTTTTGATGTAATGTCTATATACGGGTGTATGAATAATGGGGGGATGGGAAGCCCGCTTGTTTTAAAATTAGGCTAGGTCGGGGGTGTACAACCCCTTCGCTTAATGCCCGATGGCCGGCTCTCCCTGAACTTCCATCCTTCCCACCATAAAGTCCAGCCTTTCCAAATTGAAAATTTCATGATATTTCAATACAAAAAAAGAAAAACAAAGACTAGTACAAGAAATAAATGCAAGGCAGTAGTGGGGGAGCGCGCAAAGTCCGCATGCGCTTCTATTCTCTCGCTTCTCCCTCGCTTCTGAGCCTCTCAGTGGTCCGGGTGAACACATGCTGGTCGCTAACCAAGGAGGTAAGGGCTTTTCATTCACCCCATTCTCATCGATCGGACACTCGGAAAACTGGGTCACCCCCCTCGTCGTAAACAAACAAGACAAAGTGACAAACAAGAAAATTCAACTTAATTTATATATTTTTTTAATATATTTTACTCTTTATTTTATATAATTAAAGGTTTAAGGGATGAATCGGACTGTTTTGGATTACTGACCATCCCTTGTTTCGAGTAATTTGGTTTTCCTCCTTCACTACAGACAAGATCACCAATTTACCAACATACTTAATTTTTATAGGCCAAGAAATATGTTTTTCCATATGTTTAAGCTGTTCAGTTTTCTTTAAAAAAGAACGATGTAAATTTTGTAGAGGATTAGATTCTATTTAAAACGAACCACCTTTAAAGCTTCCAAGACATTTTGTTTTATTCTTCATTTATGGTTCTAAGGTGGTCTTTCAACATTTCAAAGCATTGTTGAAAAAATCTCCCTCAAATCAGGGTTCCCCCAGTGTAGCCCAAAACACGTAAAAGAAAGAAAAACTAAAAATACAGCGTCACATATGATAAAATGAACGATCTTTATACATGCCGAAATTAAACACTGAAAACTTCATCAATTTTAACAGTAAAAACCTCAAAACCTTACCCATTTCATTTTAGTTCATTTTAAAGAAAAGCTACTTCTAATTAACTTTTACTTAGTCACCTTTAAAAAAAATCCATAGTTAATGAATTATTTGCATTAAAGTATAAAAAAACACGTTTTCTTCCTGGATACTTTGGCTAGATTTGTATATGTATTAATTTCCTTTTTGTGTCGTTTGCGATTTTGTTGGTCAAAATGTATTAGGATTTAGAGCGATATCAGCAGTTTATGCTTATAGGAGAGAACCCAGGATGCTTCCTTGTCATACTCCACTTCCAATTTTTTTTTTTTTTTTTATTATTTGAAGAGATCTTACACCTGTACATAAGACGAGATGATTACACGGAATCTTGCTCAAAACGCTGGATGGAGAGAAAACAGCGGTCATAACTCCGTTTACTGTAAGATGAGAAATCCGTCCCATACGGTTCCCGTATATTTTTGTTTGAACCGTAAGCCGTATAGAACCTATGCCTAGCTTCAATTCTGCCAATTTATTTCGCGTATGTGGATTCCATGTCAATCATTCTGTACAGTCCAAGTATTTGACGTGAGGAAGTAGAATTTCAGACAAACGGAAGTATGTAACCATGGCTAACCAAACCGCTAGGACAAAATCGAGGTTTGTAGATAACAGATAACGTCAGCAAAAAGGTGAGCGTGTTAGAGAGTAAAGATCGCCGTGTATTCGGGGAAAAGTAGCAGACTTAGAATGCTCCCTTGAGGAACACAGGGAAATGATTCGGAGAGATGGTTCAGTAGGCAAAATAGAAGAAAGTATAGAATCGTACGAAATTTTGACCGGAACCTTTGAAAATACCCTGTATACAGGGTGTTACAGGATTTAATATCAAAACTGTCATGTTGGATTCAATAAATAAAACGTAGTATAGCGCCACCAGAACGATGTTAGTATTGTGACTCAATCCTGAGATATTAACATTTTTGCGCTTTTTTGTCTCATATTTTTTTTACATAAAATTCTCAACTTTAATGTCATTAAAGTAGAAATCGATCTTTATGTCACAAACTACATTAAATTTCCCACAGGATAAAATTTTAGTTGACAAAATCGCGCTGCCGAATACACCTTAGCTCAATGATAAGAAATCGCAAAACCCATGTTTTTTGGACATAATCAGTTTTGACTCTGCAATGACTTTTCCCGTCAAATCTTTCAGGGATTTCACCAAAATTGCCTTATTTTATAAATATGCAACGACCTTGGTCTACATTTTTTGGAAGTTTGGTCAGTGAAATATTTGAAAGGTTGAAAAAGAAGTGATATTGAACCAAAGGAAAGTAGCAACACAGGAACATCGTACATGTCATATTTTTTTACAAAACATTTATTAGTTGGTAACTAAAATTAGATACATTCTTCTCTTAAAGTGTACATAATAAAAGAAAAATTTCAATAAATTTACGTTAGGTTTTGCCATTTGTTATTTTTTCAGCGGTGTATTCGGAAGCGTGAATTTTTGTGGGAAAGTTATTGTAGTTTGTGGTCAGATTTATACTCAGTGACGCTAAAGTTGAGAAATTTTATGTTTTATGTTAAGAAAAGAGATTTTATGTTTTAAAAAAATAGACAAAAATCACAAAAACGTTAATATCTCGGGTAAGAGTCGAGATAGGGACATCGTTCTGATGGCATAGAATTATGATTTATTTAGTGAATCCACCGTGGCAGTATTGACATTAACCCTGCAACACCCTGTATATCATTACAAATACGCTTTAACTCATGAATAAATTCAATACATTAAATTGCACAATCTCGTCCCCTGTAATCAGTGACCCTGAGTGTCGCTTAAAACACCAAAAGTAGGGGAAAATAGAGTGAAAATTAAATACCAAGAAAAATTATGTCTGGAACTTTTAGAAACACCCTGTATATATAATATTGCATATACAGTTTAACTCACTATAAAAAAAATTCGAACAATAAAAACTGAACAACCTCACTTCCCGGAATCAGTGTTGCCCCCAGTGTTGTCGAAAACAGAGGATCGAGGTGGGAAAAAGGACCAAAAGGCCTTCACCGTAAGACAATAAATTCTGCCAGGATTTTTCGGACCATTCTGAATGTACGTATGAGGAGGTGAGTTCCAAAACTTGTTGGTTCTCATTTCTTTTTGGAAAAAAAATCGAGAGGATAGTAGATTTTGAAAAAGTTTTTTCTTCACTCTCTTTCGGCTTGGAGGAGAACTCATTTCTATGGTTTACACCCGGTAATAACGTATAATTTTTTTCCAAAATGAAATAAAACGCCTTGAGAAAGAAGAAATCAGCCAAACCTGAAAATCACGATGATTTCCATAGATATTTCTTAATTGGAACCAATTGGAGTAATTGATTTCAATAGTTGTACACTTTCAAACCGTACAATTTAATAATTATACAAATAAAATACTTTTCACCGCGATTCACTTCGTCCGTACTGCTCAATTTTCTGCTTTGGTCAATATTTGACTGTTTGTACAACTGTTCCAGATTAATATTGAAGAAAAAAAATTGTTTTCAACTTTTTGTTCTGTTGGAAAATTTGATTTTTGGGAATTTTCTTACCCATCGATATGACTATCGTTCCGAAGGTTGACTTATTAATATTAATTTTCCCAGTCCTTCCTTTTTTATCTTTAAATAAACTGATTTTATTCATTGGTCGATAGTGATTTTTTCCTCTTCGAAATTTTATTTAAAAAAGTTCCAGCTGACATATGGGCTTGCCTTTTTCGTTGTTTCCGTATTTTTGTTTTGTTTGTTGTTTTAAGGGATTCGAGAATAATAAATAAGTTCAATCTTTATCGTAAGACTGGATGAAAAGGCGACGAGGTTTGTAACCCAGGGACAAAAAAGCCTGCTGAAAAGGCTGTTTCGAAATAGACGAGGGTCTACGAGGGAGAGAAGTGATCTAAGCCCTGTGGAAAGCCCAGTTCATAAAATATAATCATCCCTGATCGCCTGCGATCTTTAGACCTGCCCACTGTATTTGTTTTACTTCTTGGCTCAGAAGTATTTCTTAACAAATGTTTATTTACAATGTTGTGTAAACTTTAATATCAGTACATCCCGCAGATAGCGCATCGAGAAAATTAAAAAAAAGAAGATACTTCCGAGGAAAAATGTAATGATTTTGGCGTTAAAAGATTAAATTTCCCGGGGTACGCATATCGTCGCTGTTTCCTGTTTTGTACTACGATATATGTAATTTTTATCAGTCGGAAAAATAAATAATCTTGGTAAAAAACCTATTGGAAAATTAATCCCCTGAGTACGCTCATCTTCGCTTTTTCACTTCTGGGTCGGATTTTTTTTCCCAATTATATTTAATAATAGAAAGGATTAGTTTGAGAGATTTGACGAGAGATCAGGTTCGGTGAGAGATGAAATTTTTGATTACACACAATCGAAGGAATTTTTTAATTAATTTAATTATTAATCGTCAATACCTATAACAATAATACACCTACATAGATTATTTTTTATTTTAAAATATACATTGTTGAATTTTATTTATGAATGTAAGGATTATTTATGAGTGTTTTGTGTTGTTGCGTTGAGGTTGAATGAGTGCATGTAAAACCAGGGATGAAAACGTCAATTGCTGTAAGATGGCAAATTCTGTCTGAAACGTATAGGAAAAACCCTGTATACACAATTCCAAATTTTAACTCCACATGAAAAAATTCTGTCCACAAACTGAACAACCTCACTCTCTTTTCCAGTGTTGCCCTCAGTGTTGTCCAAGACACTGTAAGACTGAAAACCAGTGATCAAAACGTGTTTGTGTGTCGTTTGTGTGGGTGCATATATTTTGTATGTTTTTCATCTGAATAGCATCTGAAATACTTTATTTGCAATATGCTCCATATTGCTATACTATATACTTTCATTAACAAGTTACACCGTTATTTTATTTCAAGGAAAAAACAACCACAAGAAAACGGTAATTGTAACCTTGATTAGCAATTAGAAATTAAAAATGAAGTTTACATTTGATTTATTTTTAAAACAATTAAAATTAATTTTAGAATTTTAAATATTTTTTATTATATTGCATGTTTCGTTGGAAAGCTTGTGTGTATATGTGTATTACATATGTTTTGTACGTTTGTGTAAGTGTGTTGTGTTTATATGGGTGCATATGTGTTGTTGTATTTTGAGTTGTTATATTGAGTTTGTTTTTGTAAATAACTTTTGTTTGTATGGATGGATGTTGTGTAAAGTTATATTGTGTTTATATGTTTGCAAGTGGGTAGATTTTGTATGGTTGCATATGTGTTGTATTGAGCTTTATTGTGTGTACATTTTTGTAAGTGTTTCGTGATTGTGTAGGTCCATATGTGTGTAATTTAATTTTTTG